CCCAGGCCCCACAGAATCTCTGCAGCAGTTTGAACAATCAAAAGAAGGATTTAAGTATTTAAAGCAAACTCAAGTCAGCAAATTTCCTCTCAACTTCTGGGCTTTGCTTAGGTGCTTTAGTTCTTAGCCCTGGACTAGAGGACAAGACAAGTCCCAGTCTCAGATCTACCACTTTTCCTGTTTATAGGATGAAACACACAGTTTCCCTGAAGGACAAGGAGACTCAAAACAAGAAGCCTCCCAGCCTTCTCCCTGCCCTCCTAGACTCTGTTTGTCTTTACAGCAGTGATCTTAGCTCAGATAAGGTCATGTTTTGTTTTTGTCTTTTGTCTTCCTGCTTGTTCCAGTCGGTCCCAGTCTTTTGAAGTGGGACTGGCTGGGAGGTCACAATGTCCCTATTGTCTGGGATGACACTTCTGGGCTTAGGTCATGTGTCCAGTGTTCAGAGGATCCCAGAGCCAAAAGAATCAGACACTAGACCTATCAGTGGCTTAGTTGTTTTGCCCTCCTCTCCTGGCTACTGACGAGGTAAGTGTCTGTGTTTACAGAGGCTTGTGCTGACAGAATATCTGTGCCCCAGATGCCTTGGAAAATCTGGGCCATAGGTTTTGAAAGACATTTGAAAATACTAACAATTTATCTTACTCTCTGTGGAATCAGGAATAGAATGCCTTGAGTTTTCTAAGCTAGCAGGTATACTACCACTGTCCTGAACCGCTGTGCCACCAACCTCTTTTTTTCTTTTTTCCTTTTCTTTTTTTAAATTTTACTTTTATTTTGAGTGGGATTTGGAACCAGAACCCCAGTCCACTCCTGGCCAGCCATGGAACCATCTGTAGAAGTTATTATTCAAACTCTCTTCTTCAGTGACTTTCTGTTTATGGACAGTAGTGTCTTTCTTACAGCTTCTAGATTGACCTGAAGAGACTGAATGTGTCTGCTGTACAGTAAGGATTTAAGAAGTCTTTATTTGTAAAGCCTAACTGGAGAGGCCTAGCACCGGCCTAGCATAGTGCCACACACCTTTAGTGCCAGCACTCCAGAGGCAGAGGCAGAGGGAGGCAAAGGATTTTGAGTTCAAGGCCAGCCTGGTCTACATAGCAAGTTCCTGGATAGCCAGAGCTATGCGGTGAGACCCTGTCTCAAAAACAACAAACAAAACCACACTTGGAGAAATCTATTCATCAAAGTCAAGTGTGAAGGGAGAAACGGTGTTGGTAATTAACTATGAAAGAAGCTCCTGTTGCTCCCGGGTAGTGTAAACACCTGGCAACAGCACAGAAAGCAACTGGGTTTTCAGAGGCTGCGTGGCTCTTGAAGAAGGAGAGGATTTCAAAGCACAACACATTTTATCATAGACGCTTCCAAGCATAGTTTCAAGTAGAAAGACAAGTATAACAAACTTCCATAGATCTATCACCCAGCTCCCCAAATCATCAGCGGTTAGAGCTAAGGTGTAGCTGAGAGGCAGGGAGGGCACCTAGCATTCCTGAGTCTCTAGAACACACGAAATCGTGAGTTCGATTTCCAGCAACATACAGAAGCAGACATCTGTTACTATATTTTTAGTTTTGTCTTTTGTGACAGGGTTTCTTTGTGTAGCTCTGGCTGTCCTGGAACTCCGCCTGCCTCTGCCTCCCAAGTGCTGGGATTAAAGGTGTGCACTACTGCTGCCCATCAATATGTGTATTTCTCTCTATTATAAACATGACCTCCTCAGTCCATATGTTACTTATATGTATATGTTTTCAGGACTGACCATTTGGTACTGGATAGCCAGTGTGCTCTTCCCTGGGGAAGACTATTTCTCCAGCTCTCAGAATGTCTAGGGCTGAGGCCTCATGAGTTTTCCCCTTCTGTGTTCTCTTATCCGTTGCTGCTGCCCTTGTCCAGGTCACAGCTATATATTTTTAACTTTTTATTTTATGTGTATGGGTGTTTTGCCTGCATGTGAGTCTACACCACATTCCTGTCACCCTGTGCCTGTCTCCAAGCTCTGGCATCAGCAGAGGGTAGAAGAAGGACTCGGATCCGCTGGAGTTGGAGTTACAGATAGTGAGGAGTCACCATGTGGGTGCTGGGAATTAAATCCAGGTCCTCCAGAAAAACAGTTAGTGTTCTTAAATGCTGAGCCATCTCTTCAGCCCAAATTGTCACATTCTGACAGATCTGACTTGACATATGTTTTTACCCCACTCTGTCACCGTAAGATATTTTATCATTTTCCCTACAAAGCATATATAATACTTAACATTAACAGGTGACATTAAAGAATACTATCAACTTAGAACTATTAATAGTTGTTGTTGTTGTTGTTCTTCTTCCTCCTCCTCCTCCTCCTCCTCTTCCTCCTCTTCTTCTGACAGAGGGGGTTTCTCTGTGTTGGTCTGGCTGTCCTGGAACTCACTGTATAGAGCAGGCTGGCCTCGGATCTCCCTGCCTCTGCCTCCTGAGTGCTGGTTTTAAGGGTTTGCACCACCATGGCCTGGCTTTAACAGTCATTTCTTAAAGTGATTCAGTATTCAGGTGACCTTTGATTGTGGTTTGGTCCAGGCTTTCTTTACGCCTGCTGCTGAGAGTACCAACTTTCTACTTGGGAGACTTGCAAGTCCTGATTCTGATGGCACCTTCCAGCTTCCCTCTCCGGCTCACTCTCTGTCTCCATGTTCAGGCACACTCATGCCTGCTTCCTTTCTCATCCTTGACCCAGTTTTTTCTTGTCTAAACTACAGGAAAGGGGCTTCTGGGTAAATTCCCCTGGCTAGGGTTATGAAAGGTGGCTTTCACCCGAGGCTGGAGCAAAACATCTAGAAGTCTTCTGGTTTACATCTTATGACTTGAAGGGGATGAGAGTTTGTTCCCAGTCAGGATGAACCGATGACAATTGGCAAGATCCCAGCTAAACAGAAAAGTGTCAAGGAAACCCACAGCCTATTTCCTGTCCACTCTTAGCCCGTCTAACATCAACAGAGATGGAGTCAGGACCGAAGTAGGAATCAGAGCTCTGCCTCCAGTTAGCTGTGTGGCTCACTTTAGAGGAATCTAAGGGTTTTTTAAACATCAAGGCCCCCACCTCTGCTGTACTCAGCCCGTTTCCCTGCTCCTATTTGTCCAGCACATCGATTGTGCGACTGTTATGATGGATAACTTCAAGGCAGGGACCTCTCCTTCAACGCCAGAGCCTAGAGTAGGATCTGACAGTATGGCAGTTGAGCGCACAATTAAATGAAGAACAAGGGAGCCCTGTGATTCACTTCTTGTCTGGTTGGAATAGCTACCATCCAGAAAGCAGGTGACGGCAAATGCTGACGAGGATGTGGAGAAAGATGGAGTCATTGCTCATAGGAATGAAAATGGAAACTACTACAATATAGAATTTACTGTGCAAGTTTCTCAAGAAATTAAGAACAGGGAAGGTGTTCATGAACCTCCACTCCTAACTGAGGAGCTACGGAACGTAGACGGCTTCTGGAGGGAGAGTCAGGTGTTTTTGAGGGTGTGGCCTGGTAAGTGCATCATGTTCTGGTGGATGGCACCAAGTCCAGGAGGATATGAACACCACGAACTGCAGTCACCTTATTTTTTAAAATGTCATACAAAAATTAAGAGTATAACTTCCAAATGACTCAGCTGTACTACTCCTGGGCATTTTCCCAAAGGACTCCATATCTTACCACAGGCATACTTGGTCATCCATGTTACCAGTATACTGTTCATAATACAAAGGAAATGGAGCCAGCCTGAATGTTCAGCCGGAGAGTGGCTAATGGAAAGGTGGTGTATGCCAAATGGAGGTTTGTTCAGCTGTAAATAAAGTGTGTAAGTGTGAAATCTTTAGAAAAACTGATAGATCTGGAAATTATTATATTAAGCAAGGTGACCTCGTCTCAGAAAGACTCTCCCTCTTCTTATCTCACACATGGATCTTAGCTTTCAGAGTGTGTGTGTGTGTAGGTTTTGAGCAAGAGTGGGTATAGGTTCTTGTAGAGCCCCGTCATCCAACTTGAATAGCCTTCATCTCATCCCGTCAGCTGTGAGTATTTGCAAGTGACCCCAGCCCCCTGCCCAGATGGGGATTGTTGACTCTTGAAGTTCCCACATAGAAGGAGGGGCTGGGAAGAGTCACTGGGCCCTCCCCTGAGATTCCTGAAGCTCTGTCTCACCTCCTGCCCTCATTTCACATGGCCGTGTGGGGCTAGAGTATAGAGATTGGAATGTTAACCAGAGTGAGGAGAGGCCATCTATGCAGCTATAGGGAAGTTGTCATCCATGCTGGGGTGAAACGGCTTTGTAGTCACCCACATTCCTGTAAGCACCCTTTACCTGTGTTCTGTAAGTAAGCCTGATAAATTCATTGGTTTCCCAAGTTGGACTTTGGTGGAATTATCTTCAGTTTGTGGTTGGTGCCCTGTAAGGAAGGAGTTGGTGTTTGTTTACATCTCTCCAAGGAGAGAGTTTGAGCAACAGTTGGGAAACTAGAAAGGGAATGAGAGAGCAAAAAGCGGAGCTGAGGAAAGGAAGGGGCGGTGTGGAAGAGACAACATGTAACAGGAGATGGAAGAAGGTGCTGTGGGTCCAAGAGGGGCAGTGGGGTGGAGGAGGAGAGTGGACAGAAGCTGCTTCCACTTGAAAATAAGACCTAATGCTTTGTATGCTAATTAAGAGAATCTAAAGCCTGAAACTCTTCATAAGAATCACTTACTAAAATATATTGCAACAGTCAACAGACAATAGTCAGAAGAAACCAAGTTCTTCTTAAGGTGTCTTGGGTTTTGTCCTGAAACTGCTCAGCCTCCTGGTCCTGGCACTGGATGCCCTGAGCTGAGAGAAGGGGACACAGTGGGGACAGTTGGAACCACCCTTGTCCCCGCCCTGTTTTCTCTGCCCTTTGCTCTCCTTTTGTCCTTCCCTCACAGTTCTCCTCCTCAGACTCTCTTATCTTTTCATTCTCAGTGTGCTGGATCTTGGAGCTCCCGGGAGTATTTGAAGTTGGTTCCATCATGGCAGAAGTCAAGGTGGATGTGGCCAGCATAGACTGGCAGAAGCGTTGCCTTTCTCTGGAAACACAGCTTTTCCGCTTCCGCCTTCAGGCCAGCAAGATAAGGGAGCTGCTGGCTGACAAGGTGAGTCCCTGGAGAGCAGGTAGTTCCCTCCCACCATGACCAGGGCAGGGGCAGGCAGAACACTCTCTCTCTCTCTCTCTCTCTCTCTCTCTCTCTCTCTCTCTCTCTCTCTCTCTCTCTCTCTCTCTCTCTCTTGCTTGCTCACTCGCTCCCTAAGACTTTGCTACACTTTTTCATGAAAAATGAAAACTCAAAAGCTGTCATCTGACATTTTTCCTGGCTCTGCCACCTCAGGTGCCATATACAAACGAATGACACAGTTGGGCTGGTGCAGCATAGCGTAGCACTGCTTTAATCTCAGCATTCGGGAAGCAGAGGCCCTCAGGACTCTGTGAGTTCAAGGCCACTCCCTTCTTCTAAGGATTCAAGGCCAACCTAGGCTACTTAGTGAGATTGTGAGAAACAATTAAAATTTTAAAACCATAAGGTCTTCCTGGTTCTCTGTCGCTTTGAGCCTAGTGGCTTATCACCTTTGTCATCATTTCTCTTGCTGTTACTACTGCCGCTAACACTTTATCCACATTTTGGGCTGGACGACTCTTTAGGAGGACAATGGGAATCCCCACCCTCCTGCCCATCCTTTATATTATCAGAAGAGTCTCAGAAAGTGCCTGATTTTCTGGGGACAGCAAACAAGGTTTGGAAAGAGCCATGCCTGGCTCTGTGAACTTCCACCTCTCTGGCCAGGGCGTTATTATACCTCTGAGTTATTTTGAGATGTATCTGATAACTTATGTAAGAGTTCAGACACAAATTAAGTAATGTGAACAGGTGTGTTATCTTTCTAAACTTAGGTAGGCTGGGCTGCAAACCTGAGCACTGTGGTCACATTTCTCTGGGAAGGTACATTCAAGTGGCCGACTTTCGCAAGTATAACCTGTTTAGAGAATGGAGTCTTGCAGTTAAAATGTATTTGTGTGGGTACAAGCAGGTGAGTGACTCAACTAACTGTTCTGTTGATGGTTCTGATTATAGTATCAGTGTACTTAGCCAATCCTTTCTTGGTACAAAGGTAAAGCTCAGCTCACCCCTTATAAGTAAGGTCCAAGTTTTGATTAGTAAAGCTGGAAAGAATGGAATAAATGACCTGCTCCTTCTGGTGCTCCTGTAACCTGGGGTTTGGGAAAGTAACTGGTTAGTGTCATTTTGGCATTCCCATGACTGGGGCGTGGCCTTAGACTAGGCTGGACTTGAACTCTTGAACTTGGGTCTGTTGGCATTGTCTTCTTAGTTCAGACAGCATACGGTTCCTGAGGGTGCCAGTGGGTACTGCCACTTCAGGGAAAGATAGTGGCTCTAAGGATGGCGTGCTCAGAACCCCTTTGCCAGAGTCACCTGGTGGGTTGCTTGCTCAGGGTGTCTGTTCTTGGGTTGCTCAGTCCTCTTGTCCTAAGTCTTCGGAGTGCTGTTAATGTCTGGTTAACAGGCTCCTAGAAAATGGTTTTGTCAGTATAAAGTTTGAGGAGCTTGCCTTAGGCTGTGGTGTTGGGGGAGGGAGTAAGGGAAAGAAACTGGAAGGGGGCTCTGCTCAGCCAAGGAGGCAGAAATACATCTCAGGGAGAAGACTTCTAAAATAAAAAGCTCGACAATGAAATAGCCTCAGATAAAACAAGAGCACCTCGAATGGAGTCCATGGTAACTCTGGAGGAAGGAGAGAGAAACAGCTCACAGCAAGACGCCTCCCCAGAGGAGGACACAGAGGGACAAAGAAGGAGTGAGACTGTAAGTGGCTAGCCGCCTGGTGGTCACACAAGGCTTCAGGTTGGAGTGTTTACATCTGGGGAGTCAGATGAGGTTTGGTTGCTTGGAGCTGGGCTAGAGAGACTGCCCGGCAGTTAAGAGCACTGACTGCTCTTCCATAGGTCCTGAGTTCAATTCCCAGCAACCACATAGTGTGGGTCACAACCATCTGTAATGGGATCCTATGCCCTCTTCTTGTGTGTCTGGAGACAGCTACAGTGTACTTATATACATAAAATAAATAATTCTTTTAAAAAAAAAAAGATTGCCCACCAGCACCAGGAGATGGCGGAAGCTTCTCAGACTTAAGGCTCTAGGAAGAACCATGCTTTACAGTTGGATTTATACAGCTGTGTGATTTAAGAACCTGGGTTTTGGGTCAGGAGTGACACAGGAGAAACTTGTAGGAACAGACTCAATTGATTTGGAGAAACAAGACTTCAATGCAGATCACACAGGAGTCCCCAGGAACCAGAATTAGTGAAGATGACTGTAATATCCAAAATGACTAGTGCCGAGGGGATAATCTATAGTTAGTAAGAATTCACATATGTAAGAGACAGTTGGACTTCTAATGATACAACCATGGACACGAGACTGTAAATTAATTCATTAAAAACTACTGATGATAGAATAAAGAAACTGAAAACTTGAGACAAGAACAACACTGTATCAAAAAGACCAGGCTGACTTTAAAAGCCAGATAGACCTTTAAGAAAGTCTCCTCACTGAAATTAGTTTTTCAGTGGATAGGTTAAATATCGGGTTGGTCACGGTACGATGGGCTGTGTGCCTATTACTAGGATCAAACCCAGTGCCTCGTGCATGGCAGGTAGGTGCTCTCCCAGAAGGTCTGAACAGCCAGAGACACCAGAGGAAGTCACCAAGAAAACAACACACACACACACACAGACACACGCACACACACACACAGACACACACACAGACACACATACACACACACACAGACACACACACACACACAGACACACATACACACACACACAGACACACACACACACACACACACACACACAAACACAGATAGAGCAAAATGTGAATACAGGATGCTGAGAACCTGTCTATTCCAAATCACACTCCCTAACAGCCATGGAGAAGAACACGGAGGAGAGGGATTGTTTGAAAAGCAAATGCCTACAAACATTCCAAGCTTGAGAAGAGAGGTGAAGCCACAGATTCAGAGAACACAAGGAATGAGAACAGGATACAAAACTTAAACATCTCTGTCTTCTGGTTTTAGTTACTTAACCGTGTGGCTGCTGTTAGAACCAAACAGCGGCTTAGACAGACACGTGCTTGTGTCTGTCATGTGTAACTTCCCAGACAGAAGCAGTCCAGCCCTGAGCTGGACGATGGTTCACCTTGGTGCCCGTGGTCCCACCCTCTCCTTCTAAGTGTATGATCCAGAGCTTGCTCATGTTCCATGTGCCCAGATCCCACTGGCCAAATCTTAGTCACTTGGTCATACTCAGCATCAAAGAAGGCTGGGAAATGTCTTTATTCTCAACAACCATGTGCTCAGCTACAAGTTGGGTGTATTATTTTGCAGAGGAGAGAACCTATCACATAAAAACCCAGCTGTTTCTCTCTGTCCTTCCCCCTGCCTTCTCATGTTGTGGTACTAGGGATAGAACCCAGGACCTTATACATGCTACATAAACACTCTACCACCGAGTTACTGGCTCAGTAATCAGCTTTGAGTCTGGAATAATAAAAGTGATAACGAGTAAAAATAAGTTATACACTAACTGAGATCACTCCAGTGAGGAAATGGAATAAAGAAAGTCTCCTGGATACAGATGGTAAATAGGAAAGGACGTACAGAAAGGGGAATATAAGCCAGGTACGGTAGACGATGCCTGTAATCCCAGCACTCAGGAGGAATTCACCTCCTGATTTCCTTGCAGAAGGATCATAGCAAGGTCAGGTTGGGCTACATGAAATCTTGGCTCAAAAAACAAGCAAAAGGAGAGAGGACTGCAGAAGGGACAAAAGTGCAATGGTAGAAATAAATCTAAACTTATCAGTCATAAGTGACATATAAGAAATACGTATAGTAGCACTGATGTATGAAAAGTAAGAAACAGTCTAGTCAGGGGCTAAATCTACCTGTGACCGAAGCACTCAGGAGACTGATGTAGAATTCTAAAGCCACACTGAGGACATCAGGTAGACCCTCAAACCTTTGCTTTTGCCTGTACTGTTTTGTCCAGTGTGTAAAAGGTTGTAGTAAGCCAGGCGGTGGTGGCGCACGCCTTTAATCCCAGCACTTGGGAGGCAGAGGCAGGCGGATTTCTGAGTTCGAGGCCAGCCTGGTCTACAGAGTGAGTTCCAGGACAACCACCAGAGCTGCACAGAGAAACCCTGTCTTGAAACACACACACACAAAAAAAAAAAAAAAAAAAAAAGAATGTTGGGCAGGAACTTTGGGGTATTGGGAGCCAGGCCCAGGGCTTTGTACATGGTAAGCAATGCTTTATTTTTCTGAGTTACACCCCCAGCTTTTGGAGGATTTTGTTGTTGTTTTGAGACAGTCTCACGGAGCCCAGGCTGGCTTTCAACTTCTAAGTAGCCAAGGATAACCTTGAACTTCTGCTTCTGCCACCGTTTCCTAAGTGCACTCCCACACCTGGCTTGAGCCCCCTTTTCCGAGGGACAGTTGAGTCTCACCTCAGGTCTTAGCTCAGGTCACTCTTGGCAAGGCAGTACTGGGTGTAGGAGAGTGCCTGCTACTCCACTGCTGTGGGGTTGGTATTTCACAGTGCTGCCATGTGTCACAAGTTGCTGTGGACATGAGGAGTTGAATACCAGATTGGTGCCAAGTGCTTTTCATCAGATTGCTACTGCCAAGTCCTCGGGAGCTGATGAGTTGTAACTGCAGCTGGTGAACGCGGATCCTTGACAGACGTGTAAACCTGACACCACCTTGGCTGACTCGTCAGGAGGGACCCACACACAAGAGGACAGCTGAGGACATGGTCTTAGGGAACCTTCTGAGAGGAGGAAGGGAACCCAGATGCAGAGCGGCCTGCCCATAGAGGTCACAGCTCCAGGTGTGCCTCCTGGAGGTGTGGGGAAGCTGTGGCATCAGTGAAAGGAGGGTTTAAACTTCAGAAGTGTCAGCATGATCACACCTGCGAGTGAGCACTCCGTGTCAGCATGATCACACCTGCGAGCAAGCACTCCAGCAGCAATGCAGAAAGTCTGTCTTCATGAACACAAACATTTAAAATTTCTCTTCATTCAGGCCAGTATTGAGTACAACAGAAGATACACAGATGGCCATGATGCTTTTCTCCTGTCAAAAGCTGAGTGCTGTGGTGCACACGGCCTTTAATCTCAGCACTCAGGAGGCTGAGGCAGGAGGATCGTGAGTTTGAGGATGGCCTGGACTACATAGGTAGAGTCTCAGTCTCATCAACCAAAATAAAAGTTCTTTTAAAATTTATTTCACTTTATATTTATATGTGTGAGCGTTTTGTCTACATGGATGTATGCATCCACAGAGGTTGGAAGAGGACTTTGGATCCCCTGGAACTGGAGTTATAGACAGTTGTGAGCCACCATGTGGGTGCTGAGAATCAAACCCAGGTTCTCTGCAAGAGCATGGAATGCTTTTAACTGCTGAGCTATGTCTCCAGTCCCTCAAAAGTTCCTTTTAAACAAGGGAGGACTGGAGAGATGGTTCCAGGGTTAAGAGCACTTGCTACTCTTTCGGAGAACCTGAGTTCAGTTCCCAGTTTACATATCTGGCAGCTTATAACTGCCTGTAACTCCAGACCCAGGAGATCTGATGCCCTCTTCTGGCCTCCACAGCACCAAGCACTCATGTTGTGTACATGCATATATTTAGCCACTCATACATTCACACAAACAGTAAATCTTTCAATAAAGGGGGAAACAAGTAGTTCTACATATTTAAAAATCATTCAATGTTCAGAAGCTAGTGTTAGGACTTCCTCCTCACCCCGAAAGAAGCATAGAAGTGAGTGCAAAGTTCTCTGGAGCGCCAAGTGTCCTGAAAAGTTAATCACAGGGCGGGTTAGCAACAGGACCATCAGCAGCTGTGGGGCAGAGCTGCTTGCCAGTGGCTGACAGGAGGTGACTGGCTCTGGATGGCTTTACAGGGTTTCGCTGATGTAGACCAGGCTGGTCTTGAACTCAGAGATCTGCCTGCCTCTGCCTCCTTAGTGCTGGGATTAAAGTCATGCACTACCACGACAGCCTGGCTAAGACAAATTTTTCCATATGACAAAATTAGAAAATGTCAGACAGTTATTGTGGAAGGTCATAAATGTGAATAATTTTTTAAGGAAGCATATGGCTTTTGAGCCAAGAACAGATGTTAGAACTACAGTCTAACCACCTGGGAAACTTGTCAAGGGGCCAAGACCTTCCTATTCAACAGTTCATTGTATTCAGAAGACTCTCAGTCTTTGCATTACTTAGATTCTTTCAGGAGGACAAAACCCTCAACACTGGTTAGCCAAGGCAAACAGGAACTCTATTAGAAGGACCAGGGCAGCAGGAAGCTCTTCATTTCTGTCCAACAGCCACGACATGGTGAGGCTTGCACTTCTGTGCAGCTCCCTGGCCTCAGTCTTGCTTCCAGGTTTCAGAATCTCAAGTGATTTAACCTGCCCAGAGCTGAAGTGACAACTATTTAATATTGAGTTGGTCAGCACCACTGTCTATCATTCAGCCCTCCCTCCAGCCACCTAGAAGATTTTATGGGTGGGTCAGCTACCTCTATCCCTGCAGAATTGTTCTGTGCAGTGTGAAATGGCTGGAGGCTAGGGGGCACTGGCCTAGGACCGTGTCGTTTGACCTAAACGAGTCTGGGACAAGCAGCCCTCTCTCCGAGCTTGAGCTGAGTAATTTGTTTCTGATGACTCAATTCAGTCGAGGGTGAAGGGAGAACGTGCACATGCCCTTGGTCCTTCTCACCTGTTGAGAGACCTGTGGGTACAACTTTGAGGTTTACCTGGACCTTTGGAGGAGCATCCCCCAACTGCTCCTCAGATGCAGTGGTTACCGAAAGTAGCTGTGTCTTCTTGATTCAAGGAAAAGCAGCCTCAGAAGAGAGACCCTTGGGGCCTCAAACATGATCTGCAGCTCTCTGTGATGTTCCCTGGCCCACACCAGCACAGCTTCTCTTCTTCCCTTCCCACCTTTGCTCAAGGAAAGCAGAATTGTAGCTGAGGTATGCCTGTGAAAAGACACAGGGAATTGCTTACTGTCTCATAAACATCAAGCCAAGGGAGACAAAGTTAAATTTCTGGAGAAGTCAAGTCCTCAGTGAGCAGTGGGGTGAGGGCCGGAGTTTGGAAAGGGAAGGGCTCTGAGTCTACCCAGACACAAAGAGAAGGGTGAGGTGCACCTCACATGAATGAACAATGTAGGTGTGTAATGGCCCTGGGGCAGGAGGGAGGGGAAGCAGCTGCACCATCTCAGAGAAGGCACAGGACCTTTGACATGAGAATGTGAGTTAATGGTAAGTGGTTCATGCAGCACACAGAGGTGTGCCAGATGAGGGAGAACCTATACTCCACACCAAGCTATGAGCTTGTGGGGGCTGCAAAGGGGTGTCCTGTTGGCCATGAGCTGTCCCTTAGGCTGCAGCTTAGAGCTTGTCCCTGAAGAGCCCCTGCGTAAGATTCCAGAATTAGCACCCCTGCATAAGATCCCAGCACTCGGGAGGCAGAAGCAGCCAGATCTCTGTGTAAGTTCCATGTAAGTACATGCTAGGCAAGAGCTTTACCACTGACTACACCTCCAACCAGCAAAGAAGGGAGGGAGGAAGGGAGGAAGGGAGGGAGGGAGAGAGGGAGGGAGGGAGGGAAGGAGGGAAAGAGGTGGTTTTGTTTTTTAAATTACATGATGTGTTTGTGTGGGTACACATGACATGGCCCATGTGTGGAGGTTAGAGGACAACTTTGTGGACCCAACTCTCCTTCTACCTTTACCTGGTTTCAGAGCTGAGCTCAGATCACCAGGCTTGCACAGCAAGCATCCTCCATCTGCTGAGCCATCTAGCTGGCCCAGTATATATTTTGTTGTTTGTTTGTTTTGATTTGCTCATTTATTTATTTACTTATTAAGACATGCTCTTCTGTGGCCAAAGCTGTCAAGAATTTTGTATGTGCTAGTCTTGGAATTTTTTTAAAAGATTTATTTATTTATTTTGTTTGTGAGTGTTCTATCTGCACGTACATCTGCATGCCAGAAGAGAGAATCAGATCCCGTTGGAGATGGTTGTGAGCCACCATGTGGTTGCTGGGAATCGAACTCAGGACCTCTGGAAGAGCACACAGTGCTTTTAACCACTGAGCCATCTCTCCAGCCCTAGTATTGGCTTTTTTATCTTTCCGTCTCCACCTCTCAGGACTGTTATTGCAAATGTACACTGCTATGCCCCGTGCAAGATAGAATTTTAAAAATGCATTTTATTATTTTGTGTGCATGTGTGTGAGGGTTTCTGTGTGTCTGTGTATCTTTGTGTGTCTCTGTGTGTGTGTCTGTGGTCAGAGTACAACCTTCAGGATTTGTCTCTTGCCCTTCTTTCTCCCTCTGCACTAGCTGGCTCATTCCTGGCCAGCCAGGTCTGTCTCTGCCTCTTATTGGACCCTATCTCATGATAGAAGTGCTGGGATTACAGATTCGAACCACCACATCTGTTTGCAGAGACAGAATTCAGGTTGTCAGCAAATGCTTGCCCAGGGAATGCTTTTACCTGCTTAGCCAGCATCCTTTCTAATGTTGGAGTTGGTGGATCATCATGCCCCGAAGTTTCCTTTGATCCCCAGCACATACACAAACATACAAATGCTTGAATAATGTTTTCATTTGTTTCCTACTCCCATTTCCACACAATCTTACTGTGTAGCTCTAACTGTCCTGGAATTTGATATGTAGACCAGACTGGCCATGAACTCACAGAAATGCACCTGCCTCTGTCTCCCAAGTGCTGGGACTAAAGGTGTGCGCCACCATAGCTGGCCTTTTTCTATTTCTTTAAAATCAGTGAACTCAAGTAAGAGGATACTCATAAATGCCATGTCCCCAGCTGGTCAGATACGTGGGGTGGGGGAAGCATTCCCTTACGGTGGCAGAAAGTGGACACGTATGGAAGCATGGTCTGAGCTGGCACATGGGCAGACAGCAGCATGACCTATCCATCACCCAGTGCAGAGAAAAAAGAGGCCCCAGAGAGAGGGGACCAAAGCAGGGTTGGGGCAGCGGTGTTCAGGAAAAATGGCAGTGACCTGCTATCCTACACAGTGGCTTTTTGTCCTGTAGTGATGACAGCAGCCATGACACATCATCTGCTGAGAATTGCCATGAAAAATCTCTAGCCTGATATCCCGGAGCCATTTACACAGGCACTTGAAGTCTGGCCTGAGTATGGTGTCTGTGCACTTGAGTGCCCTGATACTACTTTCATCACCAGGACCTGGTACCAATATTTCTCCTCCCTCTGTCTGAACAGATGCAGGAGCTGGAGCAGAGGCTGCTGGAGGCTGAGCAGAGAGCTGAAAATGCAGAAACTCAGGTAACTCTGCATGAGGGTCACATAGGCACACTCTTAAGAAGAACCTGCAGTCAGAGTGGGGCTGAAACTCATCAAGGTACTAGGAGCTTTCTGAGCTAATGAAGGAGACTCCGTGTAGTGAGTGGGATTATATATTATATATTATATTATATTATATTATATTATATTATATTATATTATATTA